TGCGGATATCTCGTGCTAAAATACAAAAATATTATTTAATGAAAAACATAACTTTCAATATAAGTAAGCAAAAAAAAAAAAAAAAAACAAAACACTGATGCTGTTTTAGTATGGATAATGGAGACCTTGCAAGGCATATCTTTTCGAACTTGAATTTTCTCTGTCAAAATGTAACTTTTAATTATTTTGTTTCAACAAAATTTAATGGCAAAGTCTTGCTTAAACTTAAGACAAATTATTTCTTATTTATGTCAACAAGTTGCTAAGGTCCTATAAGTTTAAAAGAAATTATTACCAACCCAATTTAACGTGATCGCGAAATTGTATGACTATAAAATCAAAGCCATCTGTCCATATATTTTTTATATTCATTTTTCAAAATTTTAATAGCACTCAACCAGTATATCATTATGTAATGATATTTGATCAAAAAGGTATTAGAAAATGCTAAATTACCCAGCGATTGTAAATATTCGAACTTTTGTCCCTTGTTGAGTTTTGCGCCAAATGTATGCGTGCCCGGAATGTACGGTGCGTAGGTAACTACTATTTACCATTGTGCAAATTACGATAAATATCCGTTCAATGGTTAAACGCGTTAAAATCGGCAATTTTTTTCCCCGTTTCATGTCCTGTATCCGCCTAAAAAAACGTTACCATGATAAAACTTAAATCATGTCAAACGAATATAAATCGGACCGATGTCGGACCTATATCAGTGAAATATGTCAATATCGGATAGACATCGGTCCGATATATGGTAGCCGACACATTTATTCCATCATATAGCCGATATCGGCCCGATATAGGTATGTTTGCTGGGTAATAAATGGAATGATAGTTGTTGTTAATGTAAATAATTAAATCATAATGTGCCACTCTCATAATTATCATATCTTAAACTTTGCTTAACAAAATAAGAGGATTCTACATGAAATTTTATAATCTAGAATGTGAAAAATATCAAACTACCTGTTTGTTAAGTAAGTAATGTTCATAACCTCTTTAAAATTACACATTGTAATTTGAATATTATATGTTACAACGCCATATCTGTTCTCGAAATCGTGAAAATTGTATTGGTTTTCCAGCGGTTGAAGTTAGAAATTGTGGAAGCTCGTCGATGATTGACTGTTTGAAAGGTCCAAAAAAGGTGATCTGTTATTGATGCTCGCCATATCCTATCGTTAATAAGGAGCTGATTTTAATCAGATTAATACCTTATTCATTTGTAATCCATTTTTTCAATAAATAATCAGAATTGTTAAAACAATGTCTCAATATATCAAACTTAATTTTAGGTCAATATGCATTGTTAAGATAAACTTCACGCAGCTTTTTTATTTGAAAAAAAAAAACAACAAAAAAAAACAACAAAAAAAAACAACAACAATAACAACAACAACAACAACAACAAAAAAACAACAACCACATATAACGTTCAAATTAAGGACTCGAAACACCGCATGCCGTTTATTTCAAGCTAGAATCATGCGATTTCTGTGCGCAGTTGTCTTAGTATTGCTAGGAACTTTATGATAACAAAAAGATTTGCCAAAGTAATAAATTAACTTCAATAAAGTAGAACTTAATAATTTGAAAGCGAAAATCGTAAAAGCGCCCAAGCATGAAACAGCCGAACTATTACTAACTTTGGAATTAATTAGTTGACATAATTTTATCGATACACATGTAATTAATAAGATTGCATCAAGTAAAAATTTCTGAAAATTATTTGAATTACATCACAATTTCCAAAGAATTATTAAAATTTAAAGAAATGAATTGGAAGATTCAACTAGTATATTTAAATGTCTAAATACGTAATTGGCGTCAATAATATTTATATCTTACAGGCGTTATATTAAACTTAATACGTAAAACTGGCGTCAATAATATTATATCTTTACAGGCGTTATATTTAACTAAATACGTAATTGTCGTCAATAATATGATGTCTTTCAAGAGTTATGTAATAGAAAGAGCACCGAAACACGAGGCTATCTGATTTGTACGAGGGGGCGTAGCCCCGAGTATTAATCAGATTGCCGAGTGTTTTGGTGTTTTTCTCTTTGTATCATAGTCAAACATAAAATCACGTTCCCTGTTGTCACAAATATGAAACCCCGGCAAAAATGAACCATGAACGAACATCGGAATATGACATTTCTGTCGCTTTCCCTTTCTCCTGTTCGTCACAAATATGTAAACCAAGCAAAAATGAGCCATCAATGGGCATGTTCTCTGGAGTGCGGGTAACTAATACCCGCACTCCCCATTAAACGCACTTTTCATTATATGTATCAATTTTCACCCTGAACCCATTTTCAACAGAAAGGTCCTCCAAACTATATACAAATATAAATTAAAGAGGAATATTGGATACGGTGTAGTTTAATACTAAATTTTTATGACGAGTTGAATAAAATGTATATGCGAGCCCCTTCTGGCGAGAAATATTGTTTTATTCAACGAGATTCAAAAACTTTTATAATGAAATCTACACAATGAAATTCTATTTACGCATAATAAAATAAAAACAGTAAAATGGGAAAAAAAGATAAATTTTTCAAAGACGCGCTATAGTGCTAAAGGCCTAACAATAGCGCACTTTTAAAGCTATTGTTCTATATAGCGCAAATGAACGTCACGTCAAAAGTGTTCATTACACTAAGTGTAATACGCTTTATTGGGAATGGTTTTTTAAACTCCTGGCCACTGTTTATGTGATAAAAAACCTAAAATACTCTTAAATTTTGGGTCAAATAATTTAATTTATTACAACTTACAGGGGAAGGTTTTAAGTGGAAAATACCTGCCGCTTTTAACTGAAGGGAAAGCCAGAGGTGGGGTCTTTTAAATTAGGCAAAAAGATTTGGCATCAATATGCCCTTAAGAAAACAGGTTAAAGTAGACAATATTGCTAAAAAAAACATCCTGAAAGAAAAGATAAGAATAGATGTTTTAATATATTTATTTTCATACTCCTTAACACATTTTCATTCAGCTTTCCGATCTTCGTGCTCATTTCAATCTGCATCCCTCCCAGTGATGAAAGACTAATTAAAACAAGAGGGTCATGATGGCCCTGAGGTCGCTCACCTGTATAAAGGTACCCGGAGCGGGGCCAGTTTAAACCCCAGGGCTTTTATTTGAACAAACTTGGAAGACACCCATTAGAAGATGTTTTACGATGTTAAGTTTTTACTACAAACATATAATGAAAAACAACGATCTATCCCCCTCCTTCCGCCCCCCCCCAGCAGGGCCAATTTAAACCCAAGGGCTTTTATTTGAACAAACTTGGTAGACACCCATAAGAAGATGTTTCATGCTATACATCTAAGCTCTAGCTCATTGGTTTTTTTTTTAGAAAAAGATTTTTTAAGTTTTTACTATACACATATAGTTAAAACCAATGACACCCTGGGGCAGAACAAATTTTGACCCAGGGCTTTTATTTGAACAAAATTTGTAGACAATTACGAGAAGATGTTTTATGCTTAATATCTAAACTCCAGCTATTTGGGTTTTTTCAACGAAGATTTTTAAGTTTTTGCTATACAAATATAAGGAAAATCAATAACACCCGGGGCGGGGCCAATTTTGACTCCAGGGCTTTTATTTGAACAAACTTTGTAGACACTCACTAGAAGATGTTTCATGCTTAATATCTAAACTCCAGCTATTTGGGTTTTTTCAAAGACGATTTTTTTAAGTTTTTGCTATATACATATAAGGAAAATCAATGACCCCCTGGGGCGGGGCCAATTTTGACCCCAGGGCTTTTAATTGAACAAACTTGGTAAACACTAATTAGAAGATGTTTCATGCTAAATATCTTAGCTCTAGCTCTTTGAGTTCTTTAAAAGAAGATTTTTAAGTTTTACTATATGCATATAGGGAAAATCAATGACCCCTGGGGCGGGGCCAATTTTGACCCCAGGGCTTTTATTTGAACAAACTTGGTAGACACTCATTAGAAAATGTTTCATGCTAAATATCTTAGCTCTAGCTCTTTGTGTTCTTTAAAAGAAGATATTTTAAGTTTTTACTATATGCATATAGGGAAAATCAAAGACCCCCTGGGGCGAAGCCAATTTTGTACCCAGGGCTTTTATTTGAACAAACTTGGTAGACACTCACTAGAAGATGTTTCATGCTTAATATCTAAACTCTAGCTATTTGGGTTTTTTCAAAGAAGATTTTTTAAGATTTTGCTATACACATAAAAGGAAAATCAATGACCCCCGGGGCGGGGCCAATTTTGACCCCAGAGCTTTTATTTGACCAAACTTGATAGACACCCATTAGAACATGTTTCATGCTAAAGATTTTAGCTCAAACTTTTTGAGTTCTTTAAAAGAAGATATTTTAAGTTTTTACTCTATGCATATAGGGAAAATCAATGACCCCCTGGGGCGGGGCCAATTTTGACCCCAGGGCTTTTATTTGAACAAACTTGGTAGACACTCATTAGAAGATGTTTCATGCTAAATATCTTAGCTCTAGCTCTTTGGGTTCTTTAAAAGAAGATATTTTAAGTTTTTACTATATGCATATAGGGAAAATCAAAGACCCCCTGGGGCGGGGCCAATTTTGACCCCAGGGCTTTTATTTGAACAAACTTGGTAGACACTCATTAGAAAATGTTTCATGCCAAATATCTAAGGTCTAGATCTGAGGGTTTTTTAAAAGAACCTTTCTACCTTTACTATATTAATAGTATATATGGATGAATTTTTTTAAAAACAAATTTTCTTTGTTGATTTATTGAAAATAAGATATTTTAAAAACATTTTGAATAAAAAAAATATTTTATGAATAAGAAAAAAAAATATTTATAAAAAAAATAAGTGGGCGTGGTCATGTACATGTATACTATCCTAGCCACGCACCGATTGCCTGTGCTTTCGAGAAATCGCGTTTTTCCAGATATTCATAGTGGAAACTAAAAATGTACAATTACGAGTAGAATCGTGTGTTTTTTATTATTAGTACTTACTTCTATTGTTTTAAGCTTTATCTTTTGATAAGGTGGCAAAGATACGAGAAATGATTCAAAAGAAGAATTTTGATGTCAATCAAGAGAAGATTATGATAGGCTCGGTAGAGGAGTTTCAAGGTCAAGAGTTCAAGGTCATCATCATATCAACTGTACGAAGCAGCCAAAACTATGTCCAGAAGGACGTTGAACATCGTCTCGGTTTTGTTAAAAACCCAAAGGTATAACTAAACATAGTATAAAGAATTAGTGACGATATACCGATACTAATGTAGTTTTTAGACATTATTCAGAAAAATGGATCTCGCCCGCTTATTTTATTAATATTTTAATTGTTGGTAATTTCTGAATAAAAAGTTAATTTACATCTTTTTCCCCAAATACAATATGTGTTTGTCATTAAATAAATTCAAAAGGCAACAGATAAATGTTTAAATTAATTACTAGAACCCCACTATGCCATCTAGTGAAAACTAAAAGCGTTGTTTATTGCATCATTTACATCCTCACCTTTGAATTGTTAACTAGAAATCGGACACCAGAGCAGATTTTGTTCAATGTTGAAAGACAATGAATAGTTTGACTTACCGTACTGTATCCTGTTGATATACATTCTGCTTCTTTGGTATCATTGATATCTTTAGTTATGAGGACAAACCGTTTAAGCCTGTGCTAGGGGTTGGGGCGTCAGAAATATTGCACTTTACATTACCTCGTTGCGATTTTCAACATCGTGTACGAGTATTTGTTGTTATCTTTGTTTTTCTGTTCTTTCGACAGATCTTCTCTTCAAAGGACTGTACATTATGATTGTGTAATAAAAATATTTCCGATTTTTAATAGGATATTATTTATCTGCGTGTAAAAAACCTTTAATACCCTTTTTGTGACATTTTCAGCGTTTTAATGTTGCATTGACTAGAGCAAGATCGCTTCTTATTGTAATTGGTAATCCAATGATATTGGAAAATGATGACAACTGGAAGAGGTAGGTCATATGTAATAAAAGGTAGTATTTAGGTATCATAAAGTTAGTATTGTGAATACTTCATTATGTTTCTTTTGTTTGTTTGTTTGTTTCATTTTACGCCTTTTCCCAACAGTATTTCAGTCATATAGGCGGATAGTTTCCTAACCATCGTTCCTAGAGAGTTACACCAGTACTAGACTACCTTCCTCCGCGCTAAACTACCAAAGCATCTCCCGGAGATCGAACCCACGCCAGAGTCATTATGTTTCACGCCTTCAATTGTAAAATGTTATACACCCGTATCAAATGAAATATTTTGTATAGAATTTATGAACGGTAGAAGTACATGTATATGTTGTTTTCATTCAATCTTATGCTTGGTGATAAGTTTGTTTTAACCAAAATGATGTATCTGCTGCTATTAATTGTGAATTTCGTGGCTTTTTTCAATGATCAAATTTAAGTGTAATGATATTCGAACGTGTTATCTCTGTAATTGGTATTACTAAATTATTATATCAAATGGATCAACATTTAATTATTTTTATTCGCTGAAAAATTAACAAACAGACCATGAAAAAGCTTTGGATTATTTACCAACATCATTCAAAATTAAGCCGGATATATGATTTCTTTTATTAAAGAGACACCACTGAGGTTTTATGACATGATCGGACGAAAATATTTTTTCCAGATAAATGTATCATTTGATGTAGGTTTAGACCACTAATTTTTGCAAAATTTCAGATCATTTTGCGCACTTCGTATTTTTTTTCAGAATAATTATTCAAAATTGTAAAAAAGTGACCCAAAATGAAAAGCATTTAAACGCTTTTCACTTAAATCGGGCTAAGAAAAGCATAAAAATACGATTTTCAATTTATTTTAAAGTATATTTCTTAACTATCTTTGCACATATTTCTGTTTAAAGTGCCCCAGCTCATCTATGTGAGAAATTCAAATGTTATGTTTTTAGGCTTTTAAACCTCAGTGGAGTCCCTTTTACGTATTTTAACGTTATTTCATGATACAGCCATTTGTTAAAGATTTTATCTACACGAGACCCAGCTATAATGAGGAACCATGCGAAGTCCCGACGGTCTCGTTGTATCCGCAGTGGACTTTATTGTGATTCTTCGTCACTAACCTTAAAATTATATTTTCTTTTATTTAACAGTCTAAAACTAATATTTTTGTTAAAGTTTTCTAGACTACTGTGAATCTAATGGCGGGTTTAAAGGTCAACGAGGTCATTTGAAACCAAGGGAGCGGTCAGAAAACGATTCTGAAAATTTAGGTAACATAACAATTTTTTAATTTATATACAAGTTTGTGCATGATGAAATTAATTATGCCATCATTATGACTCCTTAATGTTTTATCTTAATGCACCCCCCTAAAATCTCACACGCACAATGCACGACAAAATTAGAACAAACACATTTGCAGCTTATGGACACTAATATGATCACTCACTGACTTCGCAGTCATTTGTTAGTTATCGGATAGGAAAACTTCATAGTGTTTAACTAAGTAAATATGGATAAATAACGCTTTAAAAGCCGGTGCTGGAGGGAAGGCAATGCCTTCAAGGCATCTGATATGTTATGTACGTCTCATGCCCAGACTTGATAGGACGAGTCTGAAAGTTTAATTGGTTTGATTTTGACTTGATTGTTCTTTAGGTATATTTAGTGAGTTGTTTTGTTTTAGATAATGTGTTTCTTTCATTTCATAGAATTCGTCCATGACGAGCTTGCTAGTGTACGGTCACAGAGTGAAGATCCGGGATGGGTGAATCGTGACTAGGTAGCATGTGTTTTTATGAAATACCTGTACATTTATTCTATATTATTTTCTATGTATCAGATGCACAAATACGATCTGACAGAATATCTATATCACTCTCGGTAGTGTTCCGGACTAATATTGATGGTGAAGTTTCAATTACGTTTTTGGTGACAATACTATTTTATAAAGACATTTCGTCCGTTTTTTTATGCCCGTGTGTGTTGTCCTGTTTGATGTCCTGCTTGGCTCTGCCGGTTGTCCTGTGTTGGGGGATGCATTCATTGAATTCCGCCCTTCTTTGTTGATTTCAATTGGTCAGATTATGTAATAAAAGGGTTATTGAAGGAAATTCGTTTGAGTCATTTATTCAAGCAATATGTTAAACAATTCATATTATATTTATATTAACATATAGTTTTCTAAATTCCCGTGTTTCTATTACTCATTATTTCTATTAGGACAACAGCGATGCTTGTCATGGGTGTTAAAATCGCCATCGTATCGACACAAGAAAAGCTGCTTATTTCAAATTCTTCATTTGTCATATCAAGGTAACCAAAAGGTCTGATGATGACAATCACGGTAGCCTTTGTACTTCGACAGACTTTATCCAACTGACAATTTTTAGCCATAAGATAATGATTTTGTCCGTTGGGTATCATTAACCACTGTTTGGAACAACTGGTTCCTGACTGAGTGCTAAGCTGTTAGACAGCTAGATGTTTTGGATTCTTTATGTTGGAGTAAACTGAATTGGATAAAAAAATTAAAGAGATATATATTATGCTCATATTTGATATTTGAAAATTTTGACAATTATTGTGCAGTTCAGGAATCCATATTTCTTATTTTTTTTAATTTGATAATTTATGGATTAAGAGCATGTAAGGTGTTTATCTCCTGAGGAAAATAGTGCTGAACATGTAGTAATTTATTGTAAAGGTAGCAAAATGTAAATAAAGTAGTATATTTCGACTTCCATATAAAATACTTATTCACTATAATTAAACCAATTGCAAACATTACAAAATCAGCAATAGATGGTTTACATAATCAGCATAATTAGTCAGCGTCTTTAAATTATTTTGTGGAAACTGTACCAAAAAGTAAAAAAGTTTTGAGAAATAAAAAAGATAGCATTTCTAAGGCATAATACCGGTAAAATGTATAAATTTGTGAAATATTCAGAACTTTTACAATATAATCTTAGCTATTGCGTTAACGTAAATTTAGGTGTATGAATCATAAAGCGGCCATCAGGTTTTCTAAAAGTTATATATGTTATTTTTTTAAGGTAAGTCGTTTCGATCTTCTATTTTTAGCAACGAACGTCACTGGCACGTTATAAATATCTCTCGGGACGCTGCTTTGAAAGGCTTAATTGCAGTGATGTGATGCGCTTTTCTAAGATAAATTACTGAAAATACTTAGTTTTTTCCAACAGAAAATTTTGCCGCTTTATATTAGGAAGAAATTTTAAGAAGCTACGTTTTAAACATAGTATTTTGGAATGGACACTCATAACCTTTATTGCTATCTGCCTAATCCCAAAATGTATTTTGTAAATATTGTTCGCATGCTAAATGTTATGTTGAATAAATATTTGTAAACCAATTTTTCTATTGCTATTACACTTACTAACCTTATTACTTTGAAAATAGATTAACTTTGTGAATGTTGCAAATCTTTTGTTATATTTATGTTATGTTTCATATCACTTTCTAGTCCCATTGTATTTCATTATTCTCCCCCACAAACTGAAAATGATATTCTTACATTATTTGTTGTTTTGTTATAATTTTTTTGTTAATCATGTGGTTGTTATATGTTATTTGTCAGATGCCCTTTTGGGCCTTGAATTTAAAAAAAAAAAACACGAAAACTAAACTTGAACCGACAACCTTTATAAAATGATTATTTTAAGTTTTATTGCAACAATTTTCATTTCTTCCTGACTCGAATATCTTTAAGGTTTCCATTTTTTCTACATTTTAGATTTTTTCTGTTCACTTATTTTGGAATTATTATACAATATCATGTATCTGTGTTGCTTGTTGTTGTTTGGACCGAGGTAAATGAAATTTAATTTGTTGTGTAATTGTTATTACTTTGGAATTGCAGTTTCATCTGCCTTTAAAGACTGATTATTTCAAGCTTTATTTGCAACAAATTTCATTTCTGTGCTTGGAACCTTCTACAATGTATATTTTAGATTTTTTTTTGTTCACTTATTTAAGAATTATACAATATCATGTATCTGTGCTGTATGTGGATGCTAGACACTTTATGAGTTTAAAGCTAAATGAAATATATTGTGTTGTTTTTGTTACTACTTTGGAATTGCAGTTTCAACTGCATTTAAAAATAGATTATTTTATTCTTTACTTGAAAACATTTTTTTATTCCTGCTTGATTCGAACCTTTAAGGTTTCCTTATTTCTACATATTAGACTTTTTCTGTTTATTTGTTTTTAACTTTACAATATCATGTATTTGTGTTGATTGTTGTTGCTAGAACCTTAAAAGCTAAAATAAACGTATTCCGTTATTTGTTATTACTTTGGAATAACAATGAATAATTGGGAATTTCAATTTCAACTGCCATTAAAAACTGATAAATGGAAAACAATTTTCATTTTTTTCTGATTCGAACCTTTAAGGATTCTATTTTTTTTCTACATTTTAATTTTTAGCTCACCTGAGCTTGCTCAGGGTGAGCTTTTAGGATCGGTGAATGTCCGTCGTCCGTCGTCCGTCGTCCGTCCGGCCGTCCACAATTACTTGTGAACACTCTAGCGGTCGCATTTTTGCCTCAATCATCATCAAACTTGGTCAGGATGCTTATCTAGTTGAAAGCTCGGATGAGTTCGAACATGGGTCATCTCGGATGAAAAACTAGGTCACAAGAGCTAAAAATAGAAAAACCTTGTGAACACTCTAGAGGTCACATTTTTGACCCAATCATCATCAAACTTGGTCAGGATGTTTGTCTAGGTGATAGCTTGGATGAGTTCGAACATGGGTCATCTCGGATGAAAAAGTAGGTCACAGGAGCTATAAATAGAAAAACCTTGTGAACACAATAGTGGTCACATTTTTGAACCAATCATCATCAAACTTGGTCAGAATGCTTGTCTAGTCAATTGCTTGGATGAGTTCGAACATGGGTCATCTCTGATGAAAAACTAGGTCACAGGAGCTAAAAATAGAAAAACCTTGTGAACACTCTAGTGGTCACATTTTTGACCCAATCATCATCAAACTTTGTCAGGATGCTTGTTTAGATAATAGCTCGGATGAGTTCGAATATGGGTCATCTCGGATGAAAAACTAGGTCACCGGAGCTATAAATAGAAAAACCTTGTGAACACTCTAGTGGTCACATTTTTGCATCAATCATCATCAAACTTGGTCAGGATGCTTATCTAGTTGATAGCTTGGATGAGTTCGAACATGGGTCATCTCGGATGAAAAAGTAGGTCACCAGAGCTAAAAATAGAAAAACCTTGTTAACACTTTAGCGGTCACATTTTTGCATCAATCATCATCAAACTTGATCAAGATGCTTGTCTAGGTGATAGCTCGGATGAGTTCGAACATGGGTCATCTCGGATGAAAAACTAGGTCACAGGAGCTAAAAATAGAAAAACCTTGTTAACACTCTAGTGGTCACAATTTTGACTCAATTGTCATCAAACTTGGTCAGGAAACTTGTCTAGGTCATTGCTGGGAATAAATCGAACATGGGACATTTCGGATGAAAAACTAGGTCACAGGAGCTAAAAATAGAAAAAAATCTTGTTAACACTCTAGTGGCTACTGTTGTGATCCAAATATTCTGTTAATTGGTCTGAAAGTTTGTTTTGATGATTTCTAAGTCAAGATCGAACAATGGGTCATCTTGGATGAAAAACTAGGTCACACCGCCCAAATATGGAAAAACCTTGTTAACATTCTAGTGGTCACATTTTCGACTCAATTATCATCAAACTTGGTCAGGATGTTTGTCTAGGTAATTGCTTGGATGAGTTCGAAATCGCATGTGAAACTAGGTCACCGGAGCTAAAAATAGAAAAATCTTGTTAACACTCTAGTTGCTACTGTTTTGATCCAAGTATCCTGGAAATTGGTCTGAAAGTTTGTTTTGATGATTTCTAGGTCAAGTTTGAATATGTGTCACCTGGGTAAAAAACTAGGTCGCACTGCTCAAATATGGATAATCCTTGTTAACACTGTAGTGGTCACATTTTTGACTCGCCTGTCATGAGACTTGGTCAGAATGCTTGTCTAGGTAATTGTTTGGATGAGTTTGATAATTCAGGTGAGCGATCTAGGGCCATCATGGCCCTCTTGTTTTTCTGTTCATGACTATTTTGGAATTATACAATATCATGTAACTGTGCTGAATGTTGTTGCAAGACACTTAAGTCTAAAGCTAAATTAAATGAATTGTGTATTTTATTAGTAGTATGGCAATGCAGTTTCATCTGCATTTAAAAATTGATTATTTCAAGCTTTATTTGCAACACATTTCATTTCTGCTTGATTCGAACCTTTAAGGTTTCCATTTTTGTTCCACATTTTAGATGTTTACTGTTCACGATTCTAAATCTAAATCTGTGTAGAATCTTTTTAAGCTTAAAGCTGATTTGTTTGTTTGTTTGTTTCATTTTACGCTTTTTCCCAACAGTATTTCAGTTATATAGGCGGGTAGTTTCCTAACCATCGTTCCTGGAGAGTTACACCAGTACTAGACAACCTTCCTCCGCGCTAAACTACCAAAGCATCTCCCGGGGATCGAACCCACGCCAGAGAGGTAAGTGGATTGGAAGTCATCGACTCTAACCCCCGACCACGGAGGCGGTAATCTTAAAGCTGAAGCTGAATGACATGCATTGTATTGTATCATTTTGGAATTTATTGTTTGGGTTATTATTTTGTTAATTTATTTATAATGTGCCATTACAATTTTAATCACTTGCTTCAGTTTTTTGTACAAATTTATTCATATGAATTGTTACTATTTTATTTTTTATTGCAATTTACTCATACCAATAAAAATGGCATTTTATTATAAATGGCACGTATTTGATGCTCCAATAATTCACATCCCTTTACCTTATTATCTATAAACTAAACTCAGTGTGAATTACACATTAGACTTGAATATCTACTTTCAAGTTTCAACTCTTTTTAGTTCTAACTTGAACGTCACTTAGTAGATTATCACGTTATTTTTGCATTAAATATAGATCTAGATGCCAATGGTAAAGGTCTTTTTTAGACCTTAATCATCTTTAAATGAGTTTTGATAATGTTTAAAGTATATAGATTTCTTCACGGACGTAACATTATGCAGTGAGAAGAAAAATAAAAACTCAGAGTACATGCAGTCAAAAACAGAAGCTGACGCTTGTATATAAATTCATCATGGGATTTTAGTTATCTTAGGCATGCAAGTTCACATCTTCCAGGCCAGTCATTAAGAGTGTCATTATTTAATCTATTGCCCGACTTTTTCCCCACAATGCTGAAATGAAGTTGAGGAATTTTTTGCGTGCATTGTTGTTTTAAAAATCTTTATGCAGAGAAATTTGAAAGCAATAATGCAAGATTTATCATCCGGATCGATAAATCGGAAAGGCGTATTAGACCTTTTAGTTTTAGTAGAGCCAATAGTGGATTAGGAGAATATTGAATTTCTCAATTTTGAATTTAAGGGACATTTCTAATATCAGACTTATGAGACTACCATTCAAATAGGTTGTAGAGGAAAGTGTCGCTTAGGCGAATTTAGGGCATGATTACAAAAAAGTTTGATTCTATGTACAATGCTAATTGTGTAATCATGTGACAACGCCATTCGTAAATTCAAGGGAAGCTGCTTATGGTGGTTTCAGCCAACACGCCAATGGTGTGTTTTATGCCAATGCTTTTTTCGCAATCGTAGATTCATGATAATGTCAATGGTGGATTTCTTAGACAATGCTTATTGTTGATTCAGTTGGCAAGAAAGGCCAAAGATGGGTTCAAGGAAAGACAACAGTGGTGTAGTCTGCGGACAATTAGTATAAAGTTGATTATACAATTGATAGAAAGGCAATACTGGATTATGGTGACTACCTTAAAGGTTGATTCACACGAGACAATGCAAATGGCGGACAAATGACATTAATGGCGGATTCAAGGCATTAAAGCCGAATAAAAGAGATGAGGCAATGGGTAGGGAAAATGGGGACAACGTAAATTGATTTGTTATGGATCGGACGTCGCCCCAACAAAGAAGGTCATATTACAACGCAAATTTGTAATTCAGGATAAAAGTTCAATTCGAGGGAATGCCCTTAAGGTCTGTTCAGGTGACCACGCTTAGATAACATACATGTTGGGTGCAGGAGGTAGTACTAATTGTTTATTGCAGAACGCCAGTTGGCAGTTCTGAAGTCAGGAGACAACTTGCGGATTCAAAGGAAAACGTTTGAAGTAAATTATATTGAAAACGCGAATGGTAGGGTTACCACCGGTTCATTCTTAGTGTGGAATCTCCTGTGGTTGATAAGGACCAGCGCTTTTGGTAAAGACACTACGAATTCAACTCTAAGATGGATTTGAGAGACAACTCCAGTTGTCATCTTAGTCTAATTGCTCAGGTTTTATTTTACAAGACCTTGTATTTGACCAAAGACGACCAGTACGTATATCATTGATACAATAACTAGAGCTTTGACCGCAAATAAGGGTCAGATCTAAATTGTGACCCCATGGGTGTTAAAATATTTTTGATAATGAATAGTTTTCGTCCAGAGATAACTTAAATTCGAACTTATTTAAGATATCAATAAAATAAACATTATCAAATCAAAAATGTGACCTCTAGAGTGTGTACAAGGTTTCGATTTTTACCTAGTGACCTACTTTTGGATTAAGAGTTAACCTATATTCAAACTCGCTTGTATATTACATTGATACAAATTCTGACATTTTAACGGAGATCAAATCACAAATGTTACCAAGGTTTTCCTTTGATTTGACCTGGTGATCAAAGCTTTTATTCATTATTGACATTTCTGGTGATAATCTCCGGGCAAGAGTGAATTGTTTCTTACATCTTGTAAAACTCAACCATAGATCAATCAAACCCACTAACCTCTGCAGTTAAGTAGCGATTATCACTGCTACAAGAAATAACAAAGCTTTATTATAAAACATATCTTTTATTTTTTTCTACATTATATACTGTTATACATAAAGAATTCTCCATGTAAAAACAATTTAACATTCACATTCAATCATCTTATAAAGAGAAAAGTCAAATCTTAAATTATCATTCTACTCATACAGCCAGAAAACATACAAAATATTCTAACTACAAAATTTCCGATCAAAACAAATGATAAAAACAAAGCTAAATTGAAATATACTAAAATTTGACAAAAGTTGTTCCAGTTAATTGTTAAATTCCAATAATTTACATGTAGTTTTCCTTTTCTTACTTTAAATCTCTAAAACAATTTGAACATAATTTCATATAATAACCTACTTTACTTTATAAAATAATGTTAACATGGAATTCATATATTATAGTAATGGAATAACGAAAAAGGTAAATTCTCATCATTATTTTTGACGGCATTCTGACACACAAAGAAGCTTAAAAAAATTCTGTGTGTCTCTCTGTGCTCAATTCAGACATGAACAGTTGGCAGAACCCCCTTTTTTCAAGTTTTATAAGATAAATTATTACAAATGTTTATTAAAGCTGTTAAGATAAGTTGATGGTACTCTTAATATTTGGAGACTTCTCTATGACTGTAGGTAACCTCTGAAACAAAAAAGAAAATTCTAAATTAATCACCTTTCCATAAAATTATGGAAACAATGTTTCCATATATAGGAAATATTTCTAAATATTGCAACATCTTTCTAATAATAGTAACATATTTCTATAATTAGTAGCTTAATTCTATATATGTCAAATTTTTCCTATATACAAATTGTACATACGTCTTACAATATATGACAATATCTTTCAAATTCTGTACACATGTACAGTGACATATTTCTATATATAGTTACATAATATTTCTATAAACAGCCATATCATACAACAAGAGCACCCCAAAAGTGGGGAATTTGCGCTCAAGTGTATACTGTAAAATCATTATTATTCGTGGGGCACAAATTTTCGTGGTTTTCGTTGGTGGTTCAATCCACAAATTTTAGATCTGACGAAATTTTATCCCAACAAATACTTCTTGCCATGTCTCTATTCTATACATTACAAACATGCATTGGCGCTTTTCTGCCGATTTTTGTGTAATGGATGCCCAAAGGCAAGGATTAAATTTATTAACAAGTGCTGTGTGATACGTTATGATATGTACATGCGGGGCTATAAAGTGTAAGATTACTTTGCATTAGGTTATTTTATTTTTTTACAAGAAATTGAAAATCCACGAATTTAAGAACCCACCAAAATGCCCGTTTTGATAAAACCATGAAATTTCATGCCCACGAATATAAGTGAATTTGTAGTATTTGTTTGAGTAATCAAAAATTATATTTCCATTTGGGAAAATCCAATCAAGAAATCCGTGTGAAAAATGTTTATCTTTATTACCCTAGTGATACTAAATGACATCTAGGATTGGGAGCATTTTTCTTTAATAGAGGCCTTTTATATAATTAAAAGGGCCATAACTCCACACCACCGGGAGGGGTCAATTTTGACCCCAGGGCTTACATTTGAACAAACTTGGTCGACACTCACTTGAAGATGTTACATGCTAAATATCTAAGCTCTAGTTCTTTGGGTTTTTAAAAAGATTTTTTTAAGTTTTTAAAATATACATATTACAGGGAAAAATCAAAAACCCCTTGGGCGGTTCCAATTTTGTCCCAGGGCTTTTATTTGAACAAACTTGGTGAACACCCATTAGAAGATTTTTCATGTTTAATATCTTAGCTCTAGCTCTTTGGTTTTTTAAAAGAAGATTTTTTTTCTATACACATATTAGGAAAATCAAGGACCCCCTTAGGCAGGGCCAATTTTTACCCCAGGACTCTTATTTGAACATTACCCCTGGACTCTTATTTGAACAAACTTGGTAGACACTCACTGGAAGATGTTTCATGCTTAATACCTAAGCTCTAGCTATTGGGTTTTATAAGGAAGATCTTTTTAAAGGAACTCCACTGAGGTTCAAAAACCTTAAAGGGATATTCAGGCAAAATAATGACAACTAGAAATGTGTCATCATGCCACGGATGCCCCCGCATGCAGCCAAAATTTCAGATGGTCCATTAATTTTTTTTTTCATTTTAAGTTCAAAGCCCTTAAAACTTTTCAATGTTAACACAAACCATTTTCATACACTGTTCAAGGCACTGAAATTATTCAGTCTTAACCTTTTAAAAATAGCATATTGCATATTTGTAGCCAAAATAATGGCAAAAAGTATGAGTGCTGAAACTGATAGTTCAAAATTTTTCCTACATTCAGGAAAGATAAGTTTGTCTAAAATCATTGAACCACAACCAAATTCAAACTTAAACTGCTTATTCCTGAGATGTATCTATATTATTTTCAAAGTGAAAGGGACATAACTCTGCCAAAAAAATCATCAAACCATGACCAAATTCCAACTTGACCTGCCCATTCCTTTGACATATCTATATGTCAAATTTAAGTTGAATATGTAACACTGTTGGGTAGAAATGAACAGAAACTGTAAATTTCGTATTATTTTCAAAGTGAAAGGGGCATTAGTCTGCCAAAAATCATTAAACCATGACCAAATTCGAACTTGGCTTGGGCATTCCTTTGACGCATCCATATGTCAAGTTTGATTTGAATGTGTTGTACCTTTGGGGAGATAATGAACGGAAACTGAAAATTTCATATTATTTTCAAAGTAAAAGGGGCATAACTCTGCCAAAAATCATCAAACCATGACCAAATTTGAACTTGACCTGTATTTTCTCATGACATATCCATATGTTAAGTTTGAGTTGAATGTGTTGTACCGTTGGGGAGAATTTGAAAGGAAGCTGAAAATTTCATATTATTTTCAAAGTAAAAGGGGCATAACTCTGCCAAAAATCATCGAACCATGACCAAATTCGAACTTGACCTGTATTTTCTCATGACATATCCATATGTCAAGTTTGAGTTGAATGTGTTGTACCGTTGGGGAGATAATGAACAGAAACTGAAAATTTCATATAATTTTCAAAGTAAAAGGGGCATAACTCTGCCAAAAATCATCGAACCATGACCAAATTCGAACTTGACCTGTATTTTCTCATGACATATCTATATGTCAAGTTTGAGTTGAATGTGTTGTACCGTTGGGGAGATAATGAACGGAAACTGATATTTCATATTATTTTCAAAGTAAAAGGGGTATAACTCTGCCAAAAATCATCGAACCATGACCAAATTCGTACTTGGCCTGTATTTTCTCATGACATATCCATATGTCAAGTTTGAGTTGAATGTGTTGTACCGTTGGGGAGATAATGAACGGAAACTGAAAATTTCATATAATTTTCAAAGTAAAAGGGGCATAACTCTGCCAAAAATCATCGAACAAAGACCAAATTCGAACTTGACCTGTATTTTCTCATGATATATCCATATGTCAAATTTGAGTTGAATGTGTGCAACCGTTCTTAAGATAATGAACGGAAACTGATGATGACAGAATGACAGAATGACGGAAGGACGGAAAGGACGGAAGGATGGAAGGACGGAAGGACAGAATGACGGAACAGGGTAACACTATATGCCCCGGCCATTACATGGCGGGGGCATAAAAATATTAAAATGATCTTTTGTACTCAACTTGCGCTAAAATGACATTTCTAAATGTTTCAGCATGAATTTCTCTTTAAATTCTATATATTTTGGATTTGAAACATAAATATATCTATATATGTTGAACAAAATTTAGACGCCAATAGAATCACCGAATAGTTTTAAAACAAGTCAGGTGACTTGAACAAATCCTTGAAGGTACATTAACAGATACTGTGGATCTTGTATGATAAAAACAAGTCAAAATCACTCATTTGACATGTTCTTTAACGTTTCCAGAGTTCACTGTGACAACTTTTGTGAAATCCTAGCGCTCTAACCTGACCCACGCGGGTCAGGTTAGGAAACCACCATTTTATTCTTTATATTGAGAAAAGTTTTGTTCCTTTGACTGTCTAATATATTCATTTTGAGGGCATTTACAAAATTAGGAATGAAAAAGTTCAAAACTAAGGAATGACCATTTTGCCTGTGTCTCCCTTTAAATGATAAAAATTTTTTTTAAACGGATCAGCTGGGGCATGTAAATATACATATAAGGAAAATCAATGACCCCCGGGCTTTTATTTCAACAAACTTTGTAGACACTCACTAGAAGATGTTTCATGCCAAATATCTAAGCCCTAGCTTTTTGGTTTTTAAAAAAAAAAAATTTTCAGTTTTTTCTTTGGGTTGCCATGGCAACCAGAGTTCTGTATTGAATAAAATTCTTTTAATAATTTTTAAAGGTGTAAAGTTGGTTTTCCGGTTTATGAGGAGATGTTGTGTACAATAAAACTTTACAGAACAGAGGACAAAAAAGCCTACCTTATCACTTTGTGACAGGTGAGTTTAAAAGTAGGGCGTATTACATTATTTGTCATAAAAGTAGCAAGATGTCAACAAAATAGAATTTTGACTTCCATACAAAATACTGAATCACTATAAATGTACTAATTGACTAAATGCAACAGAGGAAAAAGGTGATTGAGATAATTGGCTCATGAGTAATTTTCGGAAACTATGAAAGTACACAAAATATAAAAATCTTTTGAGAAAAAAAAATGCATTTCTAATGCATAATGGGCCTTTAAGCCAGTGTAGAATCTCATGCTGATTGTGTCAAATAATATTATGCTGTCCAGAGGCCTGCATTATACATGTAAAATTTCATTTAACTCATTCGAAAAATCTAGTGAATGAAGATATAGTGATATTCTTTTTATTACATACTCAAAACAAGAGGGCCATGATGGCCCTGAAAACGCTCATCTGTATAAAGGTCGCTGGGGCAGGTCAATTTTAACCCAGGGACTTTTATTCAAACAAACTTGGTGGACACTCACTAGAAGATATTTCATGCTAACTATCTAAACTCTAGTTCTTTGGGTTTTTTAAAAGAAGTTTTTTAAGTTTTTACTATACACATATAAGCAGGGCTCGCGCTGGCAGAAGCCAATGAGCAAATTGGCTCCAAAATTATTAAATTGGCTCAAGAAAATCATGATTGGCTCCAACTTACGAAAAGTATAACTTTTGGAATATCCAGTCTAAATTTAGCATTTGCTATTTTAAGAATGGAAAAGTACACATTTGGTTTTCCATTTACAACTTCCGCTTTACCGCTTCTTATCACAAAACTCTGCGACACAGTCTCCTTTTTGTGGGGTCATTGACTGGTCTATATTTGTTACTTCCCTTCCAAATAAAATATCGTTATAAACAGTAACACAGTCTAATACACTGACCTCATGGTATGTTTACATGTTTATCAGCTGATAAATATGACACTAATTGGTGTGAATTGTTGAATGTGCACTGGATAATTGGTCTTTAAATTCAATATGAAACAATAACCAGCGGCATCTTAAGATTATCGCCAATCATATCGACAGTTTGGTTATGAAATATACGACTTTACGGTAAGTTTGCATTCATATAATTTTATTGTTGTTGATAAAAAGATCAAAGGAATTAAGAGTTATAGAATAGAAGTTGTTTTTTTTAAATTGCAAATTAAATCTGACCTAGTAATGGCTCCAAAAAAAGCATAAATTTGACAAGGAGTATATTTGACAATTAGTATTCCTGAAAAAAAAATCACCTTATTTTGTACATAACCTCTATCTGGAGCATTCATTTACAAATGGCTGTGAAATGTTTATGGAAAAGTCAAGAAGCATACAACATATTTTTAGGAAACTTATGCTAATCACTTTACTCTTATAATGAATAGTTGGCTTTTTTTTCCAGAATTATGTTTAGTTTAGAACTTTTCAATATTCTTTTCTTCATTAATAATTATTCTTCTTACTCTCAAATGTTTCTGTTTTTATAATTTCAGATACAGATAGTCCTCAAACCAAATCTTTGGCATTAACCAAGCAAGCTGAAGCAGCACATGTGGTTCTGATGTCACTGTCATGCCACTAACTTTGATTGCTGACCAAATTAGCCTGGAAAATGTTATTCTTATAGCTACTGAGCTGCAAGCTTTTATGATCAGTTTTAAAGTGATTAAAATGTAGCTACCAAAATAAAGTTGGATATACATGTAGTTTATGTTGTTTTTTTTTAAATATCTCATGCCTTTTTAAGGTGTTCCATATATGAACTAATGCTATAAATAAGTCTGACAATTGAATTCTGGTTATTTTGCAGTACCATTGCCTGTTGCCTTCTTGAAAATAAAATACAGGCACGCAATTTTCGCCGCGAAAAATTGGCTCAAAGAAAAAATCTGCCAGTGCTAGCCCTGTATAAGTTACAAATGACCCCAGGTGGGCCATGTTTTAACCCCAGGGCCTTTATTTGAGCAAACTTGGTAGGCACCAATTAGAAGATGTTTCATGCTAAATATTTAAGCTCTAGCAGACTAAGGGTTTTTTAAAAGAAGATTTTTAAGTTTTTAGGGAAAAACAATGATCCCTGGGGCCAAGCCAATTTTAATCTCATGGCTTTTATTTGAAAAAAACTTGGTAGACACCCACTAGAAGATGTTTCATGCTTAATATCTAAGCTCTAGCTATTTGTATTTTTTAAAAGATGATGTTTCAAGTTTATACTATAGACATATAAGGAAAATCAATGACCCCCGGTGGGGCCAATTTTGACCACAGGGCTTTAATTTGAACAAACTTGGTAGACACTGACTAGATGATTTTTTCATGTCAAATATTTAAGCTCTAGCTCTTAGGGAATTTTAAAAGAAGATTTTTAAGTTTTTACTTTCCGTTGCCATGGCAACCAGAGTTCTGCATGGAATTAAATTCTTTGAACACTTTTGGTTACCAAAGGAACATTCCTGTGAAGTTTGAATGAAATTGGCTTTGCGGTTTATGAGAAGATGTCGTTTAAAGTAAAAGTTTAGGGACAGAAGGACGACAGACAAAAAGCAATCACAAAAGCTCATCATGTGACTTTGTGACAGGTGAGCTAATAAAAAAGGGTAAAAGCGACATGTTTGTAATGTAACATGACTTTATATGGGATTGGACTTCACATCAAAGTTCCTGCATGCCTGATGTACTATATTGTAAACATTATTCCATATTGGCAAGTTGAAGAATTGCACATGTACATGTACAACAGTACAATTGCAGTAGTTGCATTTTAATGTAATTAGATAAAATTTAAATAACAACTAAAGTACTTACGGTAATTTCATTCTCATAAAAACTCTGCACATAAAGAATGAGATAAGAATGGACGCAAATCCTACGCAGAATAGCAGTATCCTATTAAGCTTAGGCATCACTGGTGAATTTGTCTGGTCGAGAATAACAAAACCGAGCCCTCCGAGGGTGAATAGGAAACTAGACGCTAACCCCTCCATTATATATTGACCATTTACTCTGTAAGGCATAAAGGCTACCTGAAAATTGAAGAAATTATAAACTTAAATCTATGTCAATACTGGCTAACTGAGGGTTGATTTTTAAGAAGCTGAGCCACAACTATAAATTAGATCAAGATCCAACACTGATAATTAAAGAGCCTTGAGTTGTAGGCAATTACCTGGCACTAACAGGTTTTCCAATGCCATTTGAGCTACATGGTGCCATTTACAAAATATTAGCCTTTTGTGCTTATTTTCAAATCTGTTGCTGTAAGTTTGTTTGTACTAGGAAAATCTAAAATATTTCTAATTCATAAGTCTATCAAAAATGATCCTATTCAAAGCTAACTGAACCCTAACCACCCCCCCCCCCCCGGGAAAAAAAAGAACAGTTAAAAGTCTATAAATATCATGTATAATTGAACTTACAGGTTTAGAATTCCCTCTTTCATCCGTGGTGGAACCAATACTAGGTGGCTCTACAATAACATCATAGATAATGCCTGGAATAAATCAAACATAAACTTGTTATACTATGCCTAGCTTGTTCCCAGAATGAAAAGAAAGGCACTTATGTTCAATTCATTAGAATTAAAGGGGCATTTAAAACCCACAATTATGACATGTAGTGAACATTTTGTTTGAACAAGTCACATAATCACAACGTGGAAATTTTCAAAATGACTTAAAATGCTACAAAATAAAGGATTGTGTGAGATGGAGAATTCTTAATAAGCTGAATGAAGAAAAAATTTTTTTTTAGAAAATTGTTATTGATCTTTACAAAAATCATAATTAAGGTTTGGGCTAATTGATTTTAAGCTGGCCTACTTGTTGTTAGGGCTGTCAATTGTTTATCAATTAAAAGGGACGGTCTGTTTTTAACTAAAAACTAGTTAAGAAATTTAATTACCGGTAACCAAGGTAAATATTTAAGTTAGACAGAGCCGAGAATAATAATATCTGTCATATTTTGCGGTTCGGATCGGAATATCCGTCCCGAGGTGACCCGCCCATGGGCGGGTGACCGAGGGACGGATATTCCGATCCGAACCGCAAATATATGTCAGATATTTTTTCTTGCATATTCTACCATATTCCATTATATTTTAAATTCTTTATCTTTATTTTCAATGAAAATTTATATCATTACAACCGTAACTACTTTCATTCAACAGCGTATGAATTACAAAATCATTCATAACGGTAAAATGACGTCATCTTTATCGTGCCATTGTAGAGCACGCGACTCATCTGGAACCCCCCATGCCAGATGAAATTTCCGGCATGGGTAAAACTAACGGAAACGCCAGTCTGATATGCAAGAAAGTTTTAAATTGTTCTACACCTTAATACCTTAATTTTTATAACAAGCAAGATATGACATTTTTGTTTTGTTTTAATTGTTCTTAACATTAATTTTGATTTTTACTGGTCATTATCAGTTTAACTGGCTTTATTAATTATATACTGTTCATTATAATTTTCATGCTTTTAATATATAACCTTGGACATAGCCTGAATACTTATTTCAGTCATATTTAAACGCACTCGGCTACGGAATCCGTCTTATTGCTAAGAATAAAACTTTACTAAACTCGTATGTACAAAGCATTGTCAAATGCTGTTCTCATTAGGGAAGGGGGAAGCATTAATGAATTCATCATACAATTCGGTAAAGTTTTGTTCTTTAAGCCAGGATGTGATTTTTGGTTTTCCTTTAATAGGTGTTACGATTGAAAAGTCCTCTGCAGGTGGATTGTTTACTGAAAAACATCCTTTATAAATGTTAAGGGAAACTTTGCATTTTGGATCTGGAGAATCTCACTTGCCCAGTCGGGCGGGTTTGATAAACTTTTTTCACTTGCCCGGCTATAGACTACATGTGTATATTTAAAAGAAAATCAAATAAAAAAACAATTAAAAAATACATATATAGAATTCTATACCTAATATGGAAAAGGCAAAGCCTCAATTTTAGCGAGCTCGATTTTGTTTTAACATAAGTTAGTTTAAAACAATCGTTCATTTTTATTTTACATTTTCTGTTTTAAAATTGTCATTCGGTATTTTACACACTGCTTTTGTTTATTCTGGTTCCCCCTTTCTATTATGGTTCCTATTTAAGTGCCCAGGACACCAGTCTACGCTTCTGTTTGCAATCAGAGTACATCGGCTTTTATCGTTATCTTGTAATTCGAAAAGTTGTGATGTGTCCAATTCGATACTCCGGACGAAAGTTTTCAAAACCATCACTTAGCAGGTACTCACGTTACCGTAAAGCTCGCTTTGTGAGCAGGCTAATAATAAACTTGCCCATTTATCATGTTAATTACACATCTAAATACTTCAATAATACGCAGAAAGTCTGAGCGGGGCCAAAGGCCCTGCGAGGGTGTAGTGCTCTTAGATAACATGTATGACGCGTATCAGTTCAAATAAAATCAAATTAAAAGTAAATTAAAATTTCAAAAAAAATATGTATCCTATACCTAATTAGCTGTGAAAAAATCCTTAGTTAACAGGGCGCCGCCATTTTGAAATCCTTTTGAGCTAAATATAGATATCACAGTGCTTTTAATGAGCGTCTACATAATTCAGACAATTGCTAGCAGAAATAAGCTATAGCTAAATAAGAATAATAGCTAAATAAAATTTCGGTGTTAGAATGATGTACAAAATCAGAAAATAAAAATTTATTTCATTCATAAGAACTATAGTAACAATGATAAATGTAAAAAGTTACTTTTAAATCTTTTTTGATAAATTAGCACATAAAAGTAACGTAAAAACAACAGATGAGATTAAAGATTTTAACAGAAAATGGCGGACAGGATTTTCCAAACACCGACGCATGCGAAGTGGTCCCTCTTCCTATGATAGCGTGAACACCACCAATTTATTCGTTTCTGTTTACCGTACAAAATATCTGCATTTACTTATTGACGAATTGCATGATAGATCTGGTTAACATGTACACTAAACATGTTATGCTTAAATCCTAAATCATAAGAGCCTTCCGCGCCATAGGTAGCACCTAATTTCATATTAAACGTGGAGTGTTCTGAGTGAAAAAGGAAGCGGTGCATGTAATAGCGAGCTCGACGAGCTGGCCCGAAGGGCCTGCTCACAAAGCCAGCTTTACGGTAACGCGAGTACCTGCAAAGTGATGGTTTTGAAAACTTTCGTCCAAAGTACCGAATTGGACACATCGCAACCTTTCAAAATTAAAGATAACGATAAAAACTGAGGAATTCTGACTGAAAACAGATGTGTAGACTGGTCACCTGCGCACGTCTATGGGAACCATTATTGGACAGGGAACCAGAATAACGGAAGCTGTGTATAAAAAATAAAAATCGAAGGCGCCATTTTGTTTGAAATCTGATAAATAAAAACAATTTTTTGTTGAATTTTGTTGTGAAAACTATCTAGAATGAAAGAAAATTGTCTAACTAAGAAAATGAAACCAAACACCAATATCTTTTATTCAGTCGTTAATGCTGTACAGACGTTTAAAGTATTGTTTACCTGACGTCACAATGTAGCGCCAAACAGCACGTGCAAAACAAACAAATCAAGTACGCTATTTTAATGTCGCAAACGTTTTAAGTTTTACATTTAATTCACTTTAAATAATCTTTATTTCGCTTGAAAAATTATAGAGTGAAATAAAATAAACAAAATTTTATCAACGTTTTCAAAACTCGCTATTCATTTCACGACAGGGGCGGAGCAATATTTTAACACAGTACGTGTGACGTCACACGCACTCGTTACTGCATTTGAAATAAAAATGAGCGATTATTTCATACTATTTCACGTAAAAAAAACATCGAGCTCGCTTTGAGGCTTTGCCTTTTTCATATTACCGAATGACACCTTTAAAACAGAAAGAATAAAAGTAATTTCTTAAAGACTTCCCTGTTCATAGGCTTTGCCTTATTTCATATTATCAAAAATAAAAAAGGGGAGGAACTGTCTGCTTATTTGCAAATATGCAGACAGTTCTCCCCCAAAAATAGGGAGAGAACCGTCAAGGAGGAAACGTCAGGGCAGGAACTGGTAAGGGAGAGAAATAGTCCGACTACCCAAAGTTTAATCAAATAATGATTACCTCCTGTCACAAGAAAATATGACAGCAAGACAATTGCAAACATTGTCATCGCAGAGGGTTGCTTGATCCACGTCGGCTTCTTTAACCTTAACCGTGGACATTCTAACACAGAAAAGGGAATATTGTACAACGATTCCATTGTTGATGTGGCAAAGTCGGAAGTTGGTGACCGGAAGTTTGTGTACCGGCGGTACTTCGTAAATTGTTACAGTTGTGCAGTTTGCTTAATTGGCGAAAATATTGTTTTCCCGAAAAATGTAAATTCCGTTTAAATAGGTTTAGCATTTTACAACAATTTTACAGTTCTAATAGCTAAAATGCACCTAAAAATATAACGCTCATTTTTCATTTAAGTATAAGATCTTACAATGTTTAAAAACTCATTTTAAACTTCATCAATTCAACAACATTGCACTTCTTTATTATTTTCTGGAAACGTTGGTTGCAGTTATATCTATATAGACCTATACTGTAGATTAACAACAAATATATTTTCATAAGTTAGTAAAGAACACTTTCAATCGTTTATTTACTTTAGAAGTGTTAAGAAACTTTCATAGTTTTTTTTTAAAAAAAAAGAAAAGAAACAAAACATAAGAAAAGTAACTATGTGAATAAAAAAATAAATGGTGCAGTAAAACAGGTGTGTGTCAGATATGATATAGAATAAAAAGAGCGTTAGTTAAGAAAACGGGTCATGAATGTAATTTATAAATGGGACATCCTTAATTATAACTTCATAAAATAATTATCTACATACAATTTTGAATATTTGTGCAAAAATATTAAAGGTTTACCATTCTGATTTAACATAACATAAATTTCAAAAAAAAAATGAAAAAAAAATAAAATAAAATAAAAAATTAAAAAAAAGATATATGGCACTGGTATAATAAACAGAATATTAATAATTTTTATGATTATGTAGCATCCGTGGCATTCCTTCTGATTTCGAACAAACATCATTGTAACTCCCTCCCCTAACATATTATGTGTCGCACTGCTTGAAAAAACTCGTGATTCTTTGGGAAGCCCTAAACATTATATACTATTTGGACCTTGTGGATGTTTTCTTGTCTTTTTAGAGAGTCCACACTAAGCTACAGGTTGCGATCTGACACGGGTTTGCCATTTTCACAAGGAAATATTCCATGTTTGCGGAATAAGTGTGAATTCAAGTTAAGTAACTGCATAATTTTCTTATTCTGCAGGGTAAAACAAATAGTTTCTAGTCTTCCAAAAACACTTTGAAGCATCTGTAGACCAATTGGCTGATTTTTTAAATAGAGTTTTGGAAGATGACAATGTTTTTCAGGGTGTAAGGTATCCTATAACATCACTGACGAATGTTCAGAGGTAGAGGTAGAAATGTCATTATGGCTATATTTGTAAATAAGAGGTCCAAGAGAGCCTAATTCTTCGGAAAGATAAAGAACCCCCTCCCCAGGGATGAGATTTTTTGGAATTTGTTCACAACTTTCTATAATAAACTTTGATTTGTAGTCATGTGAATAAAGAAGAATATAAAACTTCACTTACTGGGTGTAACCTTGTTGTTCTTATATAAGAAGAAAAGAGTACATAACGAGACTATTGCTCATTACGACGAAATACTAATACTAATAATTTAATATCATTGCCAAAATCGTGAGAGTAACCGGCTACTGAAGAAGGTTTGGATTACATGTGAAAAATAAATCTTCATTGCTCAGTATCGTCGAGAAGCTGACTATTTTTGTTCTGAAAAAAAAATATATATAATTGAAATAATAAAGTTTTATTAATTGACGGGAGTGGAAATTAATTACCATTATTTCTTAATTCTTATAAAGTTAAAGGAGGCATTGTTCAATTCTAATTTGGAAATTTAAAGTTACCGATAAGCCAACTTTTTCCCATGTGTTTGCTTTGTTTGGAGTAACTTGAAAATTTCTACTTTTTCATTGGGTATATTTTATAACTTATAGGTGGCGAAATCCGAAATATTCAAGAATTAGTCACAAGGCCATACAGTCTGGTTTTGTTATGTAAAGCTTTTCCATTAAGCTCCACTTTTTTAAGATCAAGGTCACTGGTACCTGTGAAAGTTTATGATATATCTTCTCAGAAACTCTTAAAGCCGTTGTCTTTTAACAATCATGGTTCATGTAGACTATGAAATTATCAAAATTTAACACCATATCACAAGAGCAGATAATCATAAAATTATATTTTGCAAAGTTATTCACCTTTTGTTGCTCGTTCAAATATTTTCTCAAGAACTAACAACGATATTCACTTTAAAATTGTTCAATATCAAAATTGGAATGCATTTGTAAAAGACAAATGACACGGAATTCATTTTGCTTAATCATTCTTTTAAAATTATTTTTATCAAAAACTATCAACTATATTCACTTTAAAATTGAAATACTTGTTCACTATCAAAATTGGAATGCATTTGTAAAGGACAAATGGCACGAAATTCATTTTGCTTAATTATTCTTTTAAAATTATTTTTATATATTCGTATATAAAATACAAATGTATAGATTTTCAAATGTAGGAATCATGCCATAATCACCTTTTGAAGAACTCAACTTAAGTTTATATCCGTAAAAGCATAAAATTTTAATTACTTAGTTGATATATAAATTTAATCGGGGACTAAAAACAGACAGCTTTGTAATAATTATTAAATTATAGGGAAGCAAATAGGCCCAGTTTGATCATCTATAAATCAGTTTAGATAATGTGAATGGTTGAAAACACCAAGAAAACAATTGTGCTGAAGCCGTTAGGTCATAGGTACATTGTACAAAGCCAATGATTATATTATCTGGGTTTCATGGGAAATTGTTAGTACATGTACATGTACAAACATATTAAAACACTGTTATGTTTCTTTAATGTTTTTTTTTTTCATTTCTATCAATATCCTGTCTTTCATGGTCATCCCTCTTGTTTATATTTGCTTATAGCTCTATCGGATGAGTTTTTCAAATCTTCGAAAAAGGAAACCAACTATGTACAATATTGTATACATGTATATTTTGCTAGCCGAGTTTGAAGTATTTGTTTTCATTGATCTTCGAAAAAGCTTCCCTAAACTGGTTGTCTAAATAATCTGTCTTCTAACATTAAAGACTCTTCTAGACACTTGTCGGGTATTAACTCTTTATCATTGAAAGCAAATACATCCTAGCACTCTATAAATTAGCTGATGTGTATGATCTGGATAAAACTGTTGGTGCCTTGATATCTAACAGCTATACAATACATATTGGAGAAAAATTATTTCGTTCAGTAAAATAGTGCATGCTGTTTAAACCGAACTACTTGCTTCTCGGGTTCCGAGTCCCGCATTGTGCTTTCGCATGGTAAATCTTTCCGACTAGCTAAAGGAAGATCACTGACTCTACTCAAGTGCCTGCTTATCCATTGAGTCGCACACGGCGTCTTTCTAAAGCTGGCTAAAAACTCGCCCTTTTATCTTGCCAGCGTTGCTGTGAAATAAAATCAACGTGGTAGAATCATGATATCGTAACCGTTTTACGTTTGGTTGGTCTGGTACTGTGGACTTAGTTTTGTTGACGGGCTATCATATTAAGTTGCATCTTGTATAATAATTCCGATGTAATAATAATACTAATAAACTTGTCAAACCTAAAAAGTGGTTATGTTATCATTTAATCTGAAAGCCACGGGGATTCTGGTTAAAGGGATTCGTTTGTTCCCTGTGTTGAATGCACAATTAGGGTTATGTAACATTACTGTTGTCCTAAAGGTTGGAACGCGATTAAAAATGATTATTGTCGGTATTGAATACACTTTGTATCACTAAAAGGTTTTTTTTTCTAATCTATTATTTATATTTATTTTGTTGAATGGCGATTTTGATAACTCCAGTAGTCGAAATCAACCGTTCAACATCAACATGTGACTTTTAACACATGTTTTTATGATAAGTTATTTTGTTAGAAGCGAACATTGATTATATTCCGTTGTGAAAGACGCTAAATCCAACAATCTCTTAGTAAAAAGTTGTCACGTTGTTCAGTGACAATAATTTACAATTATAAGCATAGAGAATCACGAGAAAGTCATCCCCGCAAAGGACTATGTTACGCTGCAAATAGATAAAATTGACTCAGTTTTCAGGAGTGATGCTTTAACGAAAACAGCTCCTCTTCATGAAAATGGTTAATCAAATTCTAATGCCGTTACCTAGGACATTTTGTCATACTTACCTACATTATTGAGTGTTTGTTCAAATATTTCATTATTTCAAACAAACAAATGGTCACTGAAGATAAACTTACCTCTTTTTATTGTTTGTCAAAAAAAAAACCCTTCTTTTTTTTTTAAATATTCACTGCATGCTTAAATATTTAAGTCAGGTTTCAGCATTTAAGACACATATAGTGACCAGTCAATCGCCTTTCTATCACTGTCATATCTTGTTTCAATATTTCAAATAATATTCTGTTTCATTTACAATATTGTAGAAAAACAACATGCAATTCGATAAATTGTTAAATGTAAATGATTTAAGCAAACTCTTATACAATTAGTATCAGCATGACCATCATTATTTTCTATAAAAAATGATCAGATTAAGTTAAAATGGACATTGTTATCATCATTATCATCATCATCGTCATCATCATTATCTTCATCGTCATCATCATCAGCAGCAGCATCATCACTTCGTTCATGATCATAATCAAACTCATTTTAGTGTTATCATTCTTTCTGTGACAAACTATCTGAGACGTTTCGTCAATCGGTACTTATGTGTCTCACGTGCCATTCAGAAATCATTTGGTATTAGTAGTCGCCCTCTTGCGGATAAATTGGTAATTACTGGTAAGTTATTAGGGAACGCTTAAGGAACGCGGGTAAGGTGGATTGACCGCTGAATTATGACCCAAAAATGTGTTGAAATCGGCAGTAAAACAGATACTCAAACAACACAATAATCGTCACCTCTATCTTCATTATCATCAAAATTATGATTAGCATCATCTTCGTGGATATCATCATCATTAAGAAATCTTCATCTCCATCAGATATGATTGAAGTCATTATATTTATCATTTTTATTAAAAATGTGTTAACTTTAACATTATCATTTTCATCACGTTTCTTCTTAAATCATAATTACCATCACAGGTTTACAACATTAACATAATCATCGACGTTGTTGTTGTCATTAA